TTAAGATTCTCTAGTTCATCAACATTCCTTCCCCCGTTCTTTCTTTTTCGCTTTTCTTTCGTTTTCATGCGAGCGCACGTGCGAAATGAGAACCAAACTAATTCTTCAAACCGCGTTCCCCTTTCAGAAATTCTGAGGAACATCTACTCTACTCGATAATCGTCTAAAAAAGCATTAAAGCCGTTAACAAATTACAGTATCCCCCATCCTCTCGTAAAAGCTCCGTCGACGTATCGATGTATGAGAGCAGTTCTTCTGAAAGGGTTCGATAGCCCAACACTTCAACTCGAATTCAAGTACAACCCACTTTTTTTGGACTGACACTTGAAGTGGTCAACGCTGATCGGTTCTCATCCACTTCAAAAGCATGGTTCCGACAAGAAGGGGAATTCTTTCTACAGAGAGGAATTCTACTTCCATTGCACCTTCTTCCACTTTGGCCTTCCTCCTTCCTTCAATCCCTACTCAACTTCTCAACAGTGAGTTGCTCTAACCTCGGCCAGACCGGACACCTCTCCTTTGGCACTCAATCAACCTCGGTATTACCGTACTCCAGGACCAGCACTGAAAGTATAATGTGGAACAAGAGAATCTGGATAACCTTTCCCCATGAACACTTCTGTAGCTGAACTTCCCCCTGAATTTCCCACTAGGAATTGCAGCTCCGCGGATGGCAAAAGGTCTTAACATAGCTTGGGTAGGCAGTGGTTAATGACCTAGAACATTACTCATACCAGGGAATGTCTGGGAGAAATTTTGAATTTCGGATATATCACACCCCCCCCTTCCCCCTCCCTCAAAAGGTCCTCCTCTTATACGCCACCTTTCCCCATCTTACCTTCAATCATCCTCAATTTTCCAAACTTCCTATCACTTTTACGAAGATTTTCCGGGAGTTCCTCAAATATTTCCCCAAAAACTGCCGTCGAGTGCGTAAACCCCCCCCCACCTTCCTTCAACGAACAAACCTGAACCATACACCGAAAAAAAGTGGAAATCCATTAAAAATCGACCTTACGCTGGACCCACTGTTCTCAGGACCTGGTGAAATGTCTGGACAGGGTTTCCAACAGGATTGAGTCGATATGCCATTAAGTGAGTTTTTGGAAAGACTAATAAGGGGTTAGAAAATCAAGTTATTTCCAAGCTCATGACAACTCGTGAAAGCGCATTTCAAACCATTCAAAAATTACTTTTGAGTTGTTTGAAATCTTCTAGGTGAAATTAAGGCTTACCTAGACAACCAGCTGATTAGGGATCTCAAAAACATCACGATCTCGAACACCGAACACCACATATCCACATCTACTCTAATTTCTATCGAATTCCGCTTCATTAGTGAAATATATGGTGCCGAGTTGCTACTAAAAACCCCTGGCGCTCCAATCAATAGCCCGCTGGGAACGTCATTCAACGCTGCCTTGTCGCACATTTCACGAGACTACTTGGATGGCGTCATCGTGGACCACCCACGTCATCAATTTAAGGAAATTCGCCTCATTTGAAGAAAAACTACTTGCGTGGGTAATTCACGGTCAAAATAGACGTACTAAATCTGACGACTGGCGCTGGTCGTTGAGTGACAGGGCGTGTGGTGAGCGTTGGAGCTCGGTTCTTTTGGCTGGAAACTGGCTGAAGACGGTACGGAGTGAATTGAGTACGAGCCGTGGTGGATGTTGTGGCTGTTGTGGGCTGAAATTGGGGCTCTGAGAAGAATATGATGAGTAAAGGATGCGACCCCTCAATCTTTTAGCACTATCATTTCACCATGTGTACGGATATCGATCATGTGCACGATTACCAATCGATCGTACAAGTGACCAATATCCGTGCACTAATTTTAAGGAGCAAAACAAGCTGAATAAGCATGTAGACGTAAAAAAGTTTAATTTTACCTGAGTAGGAGCTTCTGGTTTCACATCATCAAAGGAAGTTTGCGTAAAAAGCTCTTGGCTAGCCGCTTCGAGGATATCCAGCCGATATGATGAACCTAAAGTCACACTCAGTGCTAGTCTTGAGTTCGAAAATATAAGGCATTTTCACAGGGACTTTTCACTTCCTCTACTATGAGGTTTTTGGTGCAGTTTGGCTAGGGGGGCATTTTGCATTTCGCTGTTTCGCAAGCACTGTTGTGGTCGAGCCGAATCGTTTAGAGATCTGAAAACTTGTGAAGGCAATGAGGTGATACTAAGCAAAGCCTGTATTTATCAATTGTCAACTTTTGCAAAGAATACTGAACTCTTGTTAAACAGCGAATGACGACGGGAAGTAAAAAAAGGTGGCAAAAGGCCCCCTCCAAGCCGAACTGGACGCCCGCGGCTTCTCGTAGTTCCTTCACACGCAAATCAAGAGAAGACAAGATACTTGCGATATTACAACACGCATTCCTTATAGAAGCGGAATAAAGAGTGGAATGGAAGCCAACTGGCGCGCCAAGAAGGTATGGCGAGAGCACAGCGAACTCCCAGCTCTGCTAGTCTTTTACAGTTTCCAAGCACTAATACTCAGCTACCCACCTTCTGAACAGGACGTGTTTGTTGGTGAAGTACTGCCATGACTGAGTGAACCTTCACGGGGTGAACTTAACGGTGACAAGGCAGCATAACTGTGATCATCGCAACTTTCCATTCCTTCCAATTGCGAGATCATTTTACATAAACAGAACGTGTCTTCGATCAGCTGCACAAAAGATCAAGAAAAAAGTTGAAAAATAATAAAAAAGATGGGGGGCAGAGGGGAAAATCCATTGGAGAGGCGGGTAGAAGCATTTGGAGCCTTCTGCTCGTGGATTACAGGGACCATCTCGTAAGTCGGTATCCTTTAAGGGAAAGGGTCGACAGGTATTTTTTTGCTGCATCTTCTCGACGAAGGAGAATAAGGAAGTAGGGAGAGAGAAAGAAAGGAAGGAAAAGGGAAGAAAAAAAAGCGAGGAAGGACGCGGTCTGCGGTTAAGCGATTCTGAGACGTTTTCCGGTAACCCCGGCTCCTACGGGCAATGCAAAGATTTTCAGTGGGACTCTTATAAAGCCCCTCCCCAGCGGACTAACGACAAAATACTACTTACCTTCTGGTACAAGTTCTGAATCGTTAAGAAATGGCGGGAAATTTTCCCATAGAGAATTATCATCGGCTGCCAATACCATACCCAATGTTGGATCGTCGCCATTTAAAAATGAAAAATCCATGTTCAAGTCAAAGTCCATGGCGACCGGCCTGAAAACATAAAAAACTTCAGAGGGAGCGTTTAAATATTCATGGCGCACGAACATTTATTTTCATCAGAACATAAATACAAACAAACAAAATACAAATACAACGCCCCGCCCTACGCTGGGAACCCTCAGCGAGGGTAGGGCGGGGTAGATTGTATTTGGTCGCTGCATAGAGACTCGATTCCGAGTACGTTGCTTACGAGGAAAATGTTTGTTGATGGCTGACTTTCCACGGTTTCAAGTGCGGCTATGACTATACTGCCCACCGTCCGAAACCGGCATACGCCGTATTTAGCGTAAAAAGAGGGAATGTTTGGACCAAGCTTCGGAATAGCGTAGGAACTGGGTGAAAATTCCGAAAGATGGTATGCTCAGGGCACCGTGACCGTCTGGGGATTCCGCAACGTGGGGGTATTTGCTCTGAAAAAAAATTTTGTGAATAAGTTTTGCAGTGTTGAGAAATGTTTTCCCGGTTGTCGACCCTTCCCCTCCGCTCGATAGCTCGACTGTATCAGAGGAGGGAACTGGGAGAGAGAGGGGTGGGGGCGTACTTTCCGGAAATTTTCCTCAGCGGCAGGACAAGACCTGTAAAAACAACACCCAAAAAAACAAAAACCGTAAAAAGGAGTAAGGAGGGTCGTATCAAGCTCTAGGAGAAGGGGTACGACTCGACCAAAATCCCCAACTCGATGAGGTTGTGCCTGGAGGATGGTAACAGAAAAGAGAATGGGGGAGGGGTTGCACCAGAGGAGGAAATTTTTGAGGGAGAGATTGTATTTCGCAGACATTTTTCTCCAACTGCTGGTGAGGCGTGCCCTGGATCTAGCTTCTATTGGGTAGGATGGGGGAAGTGAAAGGAAGGTGGGTCATCTTTTGTAAAAATGTAAAAATTCACCCGTCCAGCGGCGGCAGGACGTGCCCTGATTTCCATTCAAACACAGCTGAATAAGCGGAAAACGGCAAGTGTAAGAATACGGTAAAAACGGGAATACATCCATTCACAATATAATGAAGTGACATAACGAAGCACGATTTTTCATAATTAAAAATGACGTTCAATGCGTGAAATACCAACGACGAAGCGCGGATGCCGTGCGCTCGGGGATAACGGGCTCAGAGCTGAGGCCATGTGGACTGAATCAATAGGCACGGGCAATCGCCTATATACAACTGTAGAAAGAGGCATGGGAACAAATAAAAGAGGGTTAGACTGTGCGCGTGGTGGGTTAAAGACAGCGAGCGACCGAACGAACGATGAAAGGGACAAATACAGGTCTAATCGAGGACATATCCATCGTAAGATCTCGGTCTCGACACATCGAATATCGGCGACCAGAGATTCTCCCGCGCCGAGATGGGGCATGGGCAAAGCTGGAATATCTCATAGAACTGGATAGAAAATAAGAAACCCCTGAGAATCTTTTGCTAATAAGGCTTTTCCAGGTGAAGACTCCTAGCCAACCCTGGAGACACAGGAATAATTGCCAGCTCACAAGGTGGCGACTGATAAGAAGACGGGTTGCGCGTGATTGATAGGCATTATTCCATCTTTCTCCAGTTAGTACCGAGCAGAGTAATGCTAGCCGACTAGAACCTCAGCTCGATACAAGTATCTGGAACCAGTTCTACCACGGGATCATTCCCAACTCAAAAAAAACTGTGCCAATGGGCCAACGAACCGACGTCATACATTCCTGCGATTAATGACGACGCGGGAGGAGAAGGGAGGGGAGGAGCTACATACTCATTGCTCGCTATATTGGCTTAAATTTGTTTAGCAGTAAATGCACTCACCACCATCAGTGGGATGAAACGGGCCATTATATGGTGTATAAATAACACCATTATCTTTATAAACGATCAATGGGTGCACCATATGTGGTGCACGGGTGCAACGATCAGAGAACCTATTACTCCACCAGGCAGGTCATACCTTTTTTGGGTGCATACACGAGCCAAGGTCAGGGAGCCGTCAAAGCACATAACCGCACGGACCCAAGCGCTAGTTGTTAACCTTGGGACCACGGATAAACACGCTTAGAAGGAAGAGGAAGTCTGCTAGCGCGCGCTATTCACTCTCAGAGCGGAGCATACCCTTATCTGAGAAAGTTATAGCTCTA